TGAACATATTCTGATCAGCATCATAGTCATTATTTGGTGTAGTCAACAACTTCTCACCTGTAAAGATGGAATTGGCACCAGCAAGGAAACAAAGAGCCTGCTCGGGGACAGAAAACCGAACTCTTCCTGCAGAAAGCCTAACCATTGCGCCTGGCATTGTTATTCTTGCTGTCGAAATCATCCTAATCATATCCCATATGTCCACTGGCTGGAAGATGAAAAATGAGTTTGAGATTAGCAATGATATCAGAAAAAGTTTAGGTTATTAATCCACTTTTCCCTAGAACTAAACTCAGCATGTGATAACATTCATTCTTCCCTAGAACTCATTTCAGAGAGCTGTATTCATTGGATCAAGGGAATTTAAAATCTTATCCATCAATTAATTTATTTTCAGAAAGGCATTGAATTTCGTCAGGGGATGGAATGGGTATCAATTATTTTGTGGTCTATGAATATCAATCACAGTTTTGAGGAGTTGTTTTAAGCTTTAAGTTGTGATGAACTAGAGATTGTGTTTCCAGTCATGTTCTGAGGTGGGTGACATCTGCCCGCGATCATGTCTGCTACTTAGCAGAGAAAAACAATGTTTTGTGAAACTACCAATGTTGAAAGGTAAAGAATCAAAACTCAAGCAAAGCTAAAACTAAATAAGATAAAGTTCCTTAATGTGGTGACTGCTTATGCTCTACCAAGGGCTCTTCTAAGATGGCTCAATGTATTATGTTGGTAGTAATAGTATAGTATTATGCTAAGCTGATGGGCATGTTTTATTCCTGTTTTGGCTACTGAAAGGAGGTGTACGAAGCACAAATCATTTTAGAATCAGAAGTTAACCGATAGCACTGCAACAATATTTAAAGTTTATTCCTTAACAAATGAGGATTACCTTCTGGTCTTCCAATGGTGTGCCTTTTACTGCAATAAGTGCATTAATCGGCACACTCTCAGGGTGAGTCGGAAGAGTTGACAGGGTATGCAACAAACCAATTCTATCCTCTTCCGCCTCACCGAGCCCTATTATTCCACCTGATCGAAAAAAATAAGGGGTTAGCAAGATTTTGACAAGGATTGGCACACCATGAAGAAATTTTACCACACAACCTCTGAAAGATTGAGTCAAAGTAAACACAACTGACAAATTTTTCAACCATTCCCTTGACTCTCAATAATGATATAACATAAGAATACCCTACCAACAATTATTAATGATTCTATTTATGAACAGGAAGTCATAAAGGAGAAGAAGTTCAAATTGTAAGTTCAAATTCTATTTAGAATTCATGTCAAAATACTTGAAGTAGGGTACACTTGCATGTCCTAATGAATATCAGTTTTATGTTCTCCATCAAGAGGCTTTTAAGGCTGCTCAAAAGACCTTAGCTGCCGATGACATTGTACCTATAATCAAATCGTTCAACTCACTATATGTAGTGGTATGCACCCAATAATGTGATACTACAGTATTTGCATATACATGAACATGCATGTATCAAATATAGAGTCTAGATAGATGGTTCCACATTGTTATTCCAATGAGTCACAAGTGTCAATATATAAACACAACATAGCACAAACCAAGGTGAATGAGAAGTTTTATACTTCAAACGAATACCTGAACACACATTAATTCCTGCTTCACGTACATGCTTAAGTGTTTCCAGCCGCTCATCATAAGTTCTAGTGGTTATAATATTAGGATAGTATTCTCTTGAGGTGTCAAGATTGTGATTGTATGCTGTTAGACCAGCTTTCTTGAGCTCTAAAGCTTGCTGCTTCTCAAGCATTCCCAAGGTGCAGCAAACCTCCATTCCCATGTCCCTTCATATTGAGAATAATTTGCACAACATTAAATAATTGGGCAGAAAAAAATCAATGGATGCCTCAGTTGTTATCATGTCATAGTGAAATATTTTCAACTTGTTTGTGCATTACATGTACACATGATGGCAATTGATAGTCTATAGTTTTTCTGTAATATTTTGTCTTTAACTTTAATAAACAATATTTGGGTATGCATTAATGCCACAGCCCACAAACAAGGAGCTAAGAAGAAAATGTGGCGTTTTGGTTTAAAAGTTGCACAATCACAGAACTACTCATGAAAGTTTCTTGCGAGGAAGAATGCTTTTAGAATGGGTAACAGATGGTCTAATGTTTAACCAATTAATTAGTAAACCTAATCCTGCTTGCTTCTGTAATCATTCTAAGAAGCAGAAAAAATGCTTCTCAATTTCAGATATCATCGTAACTCCAGTTTCCTCACTCTTTAAACTTCAAAACTACAATGAAATAACAAAATAGACAACAAGGCCCTGCAATACTGTCCTCAGCATCTAACCAGCTTACAGTTGTCTGATACTTGAACATTTTGAATTAGTTTAAACTAACAAAATATCAAGAGGCTTATTGTTTCTAGATTCTTGTCTCTTTTATGAGTTAACTCATATGTTTCTCAAATTAGTGTTCACCTCATGATTGAAGGTAAATAGAGAGAGTTGCTTCTTTTCCTATATAACTTTCGACTCCTAATGCTTAGTCATGAAGTATTTTGACCATTACTAGGTAAATGAAAATGTGGGAAGGTACTAGCTCCGCTTACTTGTCAAGCAGAAACTGAAGGAGAGAATGCCAGAAACATCTCACAGTTTGAAAGATAAGGGTGTTATCTGTGAATGGTTGGTATCAGCAGATATTGAAGTTCATGAAACAAAAGTCTTCCACAAGTAAATTTAGCACCATATCCTTCTGTCCTAAACGTAAATCTGTAGAGATTGCCTCCCACAGCTTAGACATTTTAAGATGAACCATGGTGATCTTTACCCAACCCCCCACAATAAAAGGCTGAAACAGGCATTTTCCTTTGCCCAACACATTCTAGTAGTGCATAACACCATATACAGCAATCGATTGGCTTTAAAGATTCTCTACTACTTGTATACGTGAGGTTCACATTACCAATAAAAATAAACCTTATCAGAAAAAGAAAACAGAAAGATCAGAAGAGATCATCCAAGGCACTGGAATGAAAAATATAACTATAGCTCATTACCTTATTTCCTTCACATACTCGACGATCTGGTTCATATTGGTTTTCCTTCCTATTGTATCCCTCCATGCAGCACCCATACAAAAACGAGTGCTACCTCCCTCTTTTGCCTGTCAATGCATAAAGTAGCTAAAATTGCATTACAAACAAGATTGAACCTCACTGTATGTTATGTATAACACAGTCAAATGAAATCTAATTAACTGGGATAATTCACCGTTACTGCTTTTATCTGTCATGTTTATACATCTCGAGGTTGGCCTAGAACACATTACGTCCTTGGCCGCCGTGGTAAAGGGGGCAAAATCTAGGTAACTCTAAGGTTTTGAGAACACATAACTCCCTTGGGATGTGTAGCATTTGATTAAACGGAACCTATTTCGAGAAGAACTCATGTCACCCTCTAGTTTCAGTTAAGGGTTAAAGAATATCTACTTGTGCTTAAGGGTGAAATATTCCACAAAATCAGACTAAGAGGAACAGAAAGAGAGCACCTTTCTTGCTGCTTCCAAGACGGCATCCTTATTCATAAGTTTCTGTGCTTTCAGTCCTGTGTTGTATCTAGATGATTGAGGACAATACGAACAATCTTCACTGCATCCCCCTGTCTTAATAGACAGCAAAGTACACTGCTGTACTTCTCTAAAGTTATGAGAATGTCTATGTACTTGAGCCTGTAAAATAATATTTCATGAAACTGAGAAAATATCATAACTAGAAATTAGAGAGCCTCACTAAATTAACAGAAAACAATTAAGGTGCAAGCTCCAAAGTAATTAGAAACAGGAATTAAAAGAAACACATTCTTCAGTTGTTGTTTTTTCGGCATGAATCATAAAAATTTCAGGTCACTGGGATAGCATTTAGTATTGAGTTAAAGGTTGACAATGTGTTGATTGAAGTACCCATATGTTGTAAGAATTGTGATATTTGTAAATCAATTGTATCTGATAGAACAGGAGAATGTTACCCGCAAAAACATTTTTTCAAGGAAGATGTCTTCCACCACAATTAAGAAAATAACTCCTCACTCTTATGGGTGAAAAACACTCCCTTAACAAATTTCTCAACTGATTTAATTTCATTTGTCTCAATCAACACCTAGGCATTCTTTAAAATGTTTAATACTCCCTCCGTCCATCTTTACTTGTCCACTATACTGTTTTGGGATGTCCAACAACACTTGTCCAGTTTATACAATCAACATCAAACCTATCCCACCACACTTTGGACAATTATCATGTGTCACCTACTTCTACATCCCACCAAACACTGAAAAATGATCCACAAAAATATTTCCTAAGGAGTACATTTCCATCTAAGATGTCTGTAAAGAAAAATGATGAAAGCCATTTCTCTCTTTCTGGACTCAAGGTAATCCAAAATGTTTTTTCCATCAATATTTTCGCCATACGAAACACCCCTTACAAACTAAAAATCAACTGCAAATTAACACAAAGTTAAGCACATTAACACAAAATTAAACCAAAACCACCCTTGCTAAACCTCAGAACAACCCCCCATAGATTTAAAAAAAAACTATTTCGTGATTAATGTACAGTAAAGCCTTAGTAGGAATTAAGTATACACAAATCCTAATAAAATAGAACCATGCAGTAACCCAAATGATTCAAACTCAAACGATAGAAACAAATAAAGATAATTAAATTAAAAACAAAAAGAGAGAGGAGAATACGGACGCCATGAAAGAGGAGATCGAGGAGTGGTGAATCGTAAACAGACTTGATTTCTTCTCTAGTCCAGTTATTTCTGGGTCCTTCCTTTATACATCGTTCCGCTTCTACTGCAGCTGCTGAAGCTGACAATGAGGAATAATTCGGGGCACGCGACTGAAGTAGAACCAACGACGATAATGGCCGCCGAATCGATCGAACCCACATCATCCTTTTCACCTTCTCTCTCTATATATAATATATATGTATGTATAGATATGGATACACAGAAACGGCCGGATTTGCAGAAGCACAGAGATGAAACAGAGCAGCTTTCAATTGCTATTTGCTGCCTCTTTTCTCAGTTGCTTGCTGCTGCTTTGGAAGCTCCGCTGTGACTAAACTCATTTAAGAGAATGTGGGTGGGGTTAGGTAGCTCTTTCGGAAACGGTCTCTATCTTTATGAAACGGTGTTAAAATTCATATATATTAAGTTGAGCTTTTTCAAAAATAATATATATTTTTATAAGATAGTGATAAAATTTACATATATTATATCATTAATTGATTTTAATTTTTAAAAAGAAATTTTAGAATCATGAATTTCATTTTGAGAAAATTGTATATAATAGCAAACTATTAATTCAAATTATACTTTGATTTAATTGTACCCTATACAAACTATTGCTATTTTCACCACTCTCTCTAGTGGAATCTCGCTCGCCACTCTCGTTTGGTGGCAGTCTCGCTCGCCTCTCTAACTTTTATACAAATACAAATGTATAAAATGTGTTTGTGTTTGTATAAAGCAATAGAAAATTGTATATATACATATATTTTCGCTCCCCTCTCTCCCCTCTCCCACATCTCGCTCGCCACCCTCGCCTTTCTTGCTTATACAAACAGAAACAAAATGTATAAATTGCGTTTCTGTTTGTATAAAGCGAGAGAAAATTGTATATATACATGCAAATACATATATTTTTGTCCTATACACTTATAATTATACAATACATATTTCCTTGACCAATTTTTTTTGCCTTTCTCTCTTTTTCGTTTTATAAATACACAGATTATACAATTGATCTTTTGTATACAACTGCTTTCTTTTGTATATGTATATCGAATTATACAACTGTCATATGTATAGCGAATTATACAACTGTTTTTTTGTATATGTATAGCGAAACACACACACACACACACACATATATATATATATATGTTTGTTATGTAGCGCAATTATACAAACTTTGCTATAACATACAAATATGAATTTTGTGTTTGCTATATGTGAAAGTTGCTCTTTAATTTTCTAACTTTCAAAAGAACTTTATATAATATTTTAGAAATGTTAATTAAAATTTTCAAATCGTCGTATTAGTAAATAAAGTTCTAAACAATAAGATCTATACCAACAGATTATAGATATGTAGCTAAAATCTTCTTCTATACTTGAAATAATCTTTGTTAATATAAATAGTAGGAAGGATTCTGGAGATTTCTCATCATGTTTAATCTAATTAAATTAATCTTTTTTGTGATTTATGATATTAAACTTACCTTTCGTAATTGTGATTTATGATATCAAATATATCTTTTGTAATTTGATTATTTGAGTCCCGAATCAAATGATTATTTGAGTCTGGAATCGAAAGGGTAAAGCTTTATTGCAAAGGGGCCCAGTGGCTTTGCCACTTTAGTTTCTTTCAAAATTTGCTGCCTCTTTTGGCAGTTTTGCAACAAAGCTTTCTCTTCGATTCCAAATTCTTGATTATTTTGTAACAATTTTTAAAATCAGTTTATTATTAATCTAAAAAAATTTATCGTACTACTGTTTTACATCATTAATATATTATACTATATAACTAAGGGAAAATGGTTTGATATATCCCTCAACTTTATCATTTAGAGCTGATATACTCTTGTTAGGAAAGTAACTCATATATATCCCTACTGTTATACAAATAACTCACATATATCCTTTTCTCTAACGGAAGTGAAAAAATTAATTTTAATTTAATTTTTTAATAATATTTTTAAACAACATATAATCCCATATGGGAATACTTCATCCTCCTCGAACATATATTTTTTTGACTTTTTTTTTTTGTTTCAATGACTAATTTAGATTTATTATTTTGATGGTTAAATTTATGTACGTTTCACTAATATTTTTGTAAAATTTATTATAGATGACCCAATTTTTTTCAAATACAAAAACTAAATTACAATATAGCCGAAAAAATAATTTAAAATTATAATATAGCCAAAAAAATTGTTTTAAATTTTTTTCTTACATTAAGGAATAAAAGAAAAAAAATGAAATAAGAATAAGAAACTCAAATAATAATAATCATAGAAGTCAAAAAAATAATTTATGTATGAAAAAGATTAAAATATACCTTGAACTTTGCTAGAAGGATCATATATACCCCTAAATGATTTTAAAAAAAATTAAAGGTTAAATATATAAATTTAAAACTAATTTTTTCACTCCCGTTAAATGAAGGGTATATGTGAGCTCATTTTGTAACGATAGGGGTATATGTGAGCCGTTTGTATAACGGTTAGAGTATATATGAGCCACTTTCACAACGAGGGGCATATGAGCTTCAAATGACAAAGTTGAGGGGTATATCAAACCCTTTTCCCTATAAATAATTATCTTGTAAACATTTGTGAGATCAAGCATTCGATATAATTAATTCTAATTAAGTTAACATTAACAAATATGTTTGTTACAAAAAAATTGTTTATAAAAGAAAAAAAATAAAAAAATTAATATGTGAAAACCTTTCCTCAAACTAAGGAGATTTTAGTTGGATTTTTGGAGTGTTTTATCTCATATAAAACTCTAGTTTAAAATAACAGAATATCCAAATATTACGATTTGAACGTTTTAATATTGAACCGTTAAACAAAAAAAAATCTCAATTACTTGCCTGCTAATTCTTTTTAATTCTTCTTTTTCTGATTTCTCCATTATACAAGAATCAAAGATTTTTTCAGGTATATTATTTTCTTCTTCACTCTTTTTGTTCATCATTTGACAAATCTAAAAGGTTAAGTTTTCATGCATTCGGATTTTTATACTCTCAAATTGAAGTCATTATTCATTCATTATTTTATGTATATATAGTATGATTTTCGAGCAAAGGGGATTCCGATGAACTCATACCTCCTTAACTCTGCCCCTGTACATAACTAGAACGTAAACCAAACGATCCATTGAAGGAGTGCTTATTGCTATACATTTTGCAGGTTGATCAGAGTATTAGCAATATCTTAGCCTGAAATTAAGGCCCTAAAATTTGATAGATGACTTTGAAACAACAAAAATATGATAAAATGGGCAAAAGCAAAAGTAAAGATTCTCCATCCAGGTAAAACTTTACATACTAATAAGTTAACAATCACTTGTTAAACTTTTTAATCTTGTTTTCTTTTCTTCTTTTCAGAAAATTAATGCATGCTTCATCATCAGATGTTCAGCTTCATATTTATGGAGTGCCATTCTCTTTGAATAGGGTAAGAATTAATATTATCCGGCCTTAACCAGAGGTCTCGAGTTTAAGCGCTATCAAGATTAGTTGGGGAATGAATTTTAGATACAGCTGCTGCAAACAAAAAAAAGTTCATATATCTTTTCCTAAGGTGCTGATTTGTGTTGAACTTGCAGGGATTTTTGGCTGCAAGATCTTCAAAGCTAGCTGCATTGTTGAAAGAGAATCATGAAGATGATATTTCTCATTTGCTAGGAGATATTCCCACTGATTCGGAAACTTTTGAGCTTGTAGCAAGATTCTGCCATGGCTTTGACATAAATCTATCACCTGAGAATATCATTAAAGTACTTTGTCTTGCTCACTATCTTGGAATGTCTGAGATTCACAGCACCAACAACCTCACAAAGAAGGCTGGTCTCTATTTTCAAAACAATGTCCTATCTAGCTGGAACAAGACGATTAAAGCTCTCAAATCTGCAGAAATCATTCTTCAACAAGCCGCGGATCTTTCCCTGGTTGATGCATGTGCTGAGTCTATTATCGCCAAGGTACTGCACAATCCAAGTCTTCTTGGAGAGCCGATGAGGAATGTAACAACAACAGATGATGACAGTGAGAACGATGAAAATGCCTATAAGTCAAATGTCAAGAGGAGGCTTTTTGTTCATGACTGGAAATCAGAGGACTTAACACTACTTTCTATTGCCCTCTATGAGCCCATAATTCGTGCAATGGTTCATCGAGAAGTCCCTCTGGAATACGTGGCATCATCTCTGTTTCAGTATCTCAGCAAATGGGTTTTTCTGGACACTAAAAGAGAAGATGATGATCCATCAACTTACGAGAGGAATTCTCAAAGAGTGATCATTGAGGCAGTGGAGAGACTGTTGCCTCAAAAAAGGGGGCTGATCCCCAGTTCTTTGCTCTCTAAAATGCTGCAATCTGCGATAATCTTGGATGCTCATACTGAATGCAAAAGCGGATTAGAGACTAGAATTGGAAAGCAACTAGATCAGGCAACAGTCAAGGACCTCTTAATACCTGCACAAGGATATGCAAAAGAAGAGCAGTATGACACTGAAAGTGTGAAAAGGATATTGAAGAATTTCTACAGCAATTACACAAGCACGGATATATCTGGCCTAGTTGTGGTAGCAGAACTTGTCGATGACTTTTTGGCTGAGGTTTCTAGTGATATAGATTTGAAGTTGAACACATTCTTATCACTAGCAGAGCTATCACAAGCAGCAACTGGAGGAACTAACAGAAATTCTGATGGAATGTATAGAGCAATTGATATATACTTGGACAAGCACAGATATCTCACAGATTGGGAAAGGGAGGAGGTTTGCAGGGTGTTGGATTGCAGCAAAATGTCTCCTGAAGCCTGTGAGCATGCTGCAAAGAACGAAAAGCTACCAGTTCGAGTGACGGTGCAGATTCTGTTTTCTGTGCAGCTGAAGTTGAAGGATAATGTGACCAAGAGAATACAAAGGGGTCCTGATAACCAATTGTTGAAGCTGGAAGAAGACGAGGAAGATGCAGAGGGGACTAGCAACAGTGAAGAGGCAATGATGAAAGCAGAGATGGAAAAGATGGGAAACAAGGTGCTTGAGCTGGAGAAAGAATGTCATATGATGAGAAGGGAAATTCAGAGAGGTAGTTACCAGCACAAGATTCAAAAGGAAAAAACAAGCATGTGGAAAGAAATGAAGAGGAAGATTGGTTGTATGACAAGTTTGCAAGAGACAAATTGCCATGTGAAGAAGAAAAAAGTCCATCCAAGATAGAAGATATCTTGATAGGGTACTTACTGAATAATTGAGTTCACATTTGCATTCTCTTTGAAAATTTAAGAGTAGTTTGATGATCTAAACGTTCTCAGTCCAACCGACTTCACTCAAAGTAACAGAAGAGGTTGGTAGGACTGTTATTTTGTAGCTTCTCCAAAAAATAAATCAGACCTATATGGACCTTAATGTTCTGAGTTTAAAGCATATGTTTATTTATTAAAAGCGAAAAAAACCTTTCACCAATTTGCAATTCTAGGTGTCTTAACTTGTGCACACACTTGCATAGACTTCGGTATGGTGCAAGAATAGAACAGAGCTCTTGAAGGCCTAAAACCATATTTTATAGCACAAGTGCAAGAAACTAGTTCATTGCAACAAAGCCAAAATGACAGTACACAAACAGTTATCTTCACATGTGATGCATATTGATAATACAACCAACTTGTTCATTGCAACAAAGCCAAAATGGTTAACATAAGTGTGTTCACAGAGACCTGTTTTCCAGCAAACACTTCCAAAACAAACAATATTTCCCAAGAGCAGAGTCAATACATCTTAAGTTCAGAACTGTACATAATTTCGCCAGCAAAGATGCAGTTCAACAGCATAGGTTTCATGTTGATAGCTAAAAACCTTGAACACAGTTTCTGCACCCATAAGGATTCACCATCTTCCTCAAAAGAAGAAAGAGCTTCTGATCAAGAGTACATAATTAATGATCACAATTATTAGCTTTACTTTACTAATTGTAGTAACATTATTTGTTCCCAAGTCCCACCCACCCAAGCTTGAGGAATATGTGATTCCCATACTCCTTCTTTAGTAATTGTAACAACTGAAGCATTACAAATACATGTTACAATTCGTCGGTTGGATTGATGTAAGACGAGAAGGTATCTGAAGTGCACAAGACCGCAATTATACTGATGCAGAATAAAGGAAAGAACTGTAAACATCATATGGTATCAATTCCAATGCAAATAGACAATAGATTGATGAATTTTATTAAACACTTTAAACTACATACCTCCATTATAATATGCAGAATGAAGGTGGAAACAAAACCAGAGCCTAATGATGAAGTGGTTGTGGAAGTTTGCAAATGAAGACAACATGCTCCGGAAAGAGGTCATCATAGCAAATTATGGTATGGAAGATGAGTGGATGACTAAAATGATAAGTTCTCCATATAAATGCACTGTTTGGAGGGCAATCAGAGATCTATGGCCAGTGATATATCACAGAACCAACGTAGAAGTGGGAGATGGTTCAAAGACATCCTTCTGGGAGGACAAGTGGAATGGGACTGTCGCTATGAAACAGTTGCATCCTGAATTAAAATGCCAACGTCAACAGGCCACTGAGGCTACAATGTGGACTAGACAAGGATGGAATTTGTTCCTAAGGAGGAACCTTTGTGACTGGGAGATAGACAAAGTGGCAGAATTTCAAGATTCATTAGGCTCTTTCAGCAACCTCACTGAAAAGGACTTATTGGTTTCGAAGAATGATACCAAAGGTAAATTCTCAGTAAATTCAATTTATAAGGAACTCAACAAGAATGCTGGACAGGAGACAGAATGACCATGGATGATGATCTGGAAACCAAAAGTACCCTACAAAGTAAGCTGCTTCATGTGGTTATTGACAAAAGGAGCAGTTTTGACTCGTGAAAATCTAAAGAAAAGAGGCTATCAGTTGGCTTCTAGATGAACTTTATGTGGAGAACATGCTGAGACAATTAACCATCTGTTTTTGCATTGTACATGGACAGAACAGCTATGAAGAATGTTCATCTGTAGAGGGGATAAGATGGGTGAAACCAGGGAGCATTAAAGGAGTCCTAAGCAGCTGGAATATAGATGGAAATGCATCAGATATGGAGAAGAGATAGAAACTAGTCCCAACATGTATTTGGTGGACAATTTGGAAAGAGATAAACAACAGGAGTTTTGAAAATGGGCAGAATAGCTTAGAGGAGATCTAAATGAATTGCTTAGCTCTTTTTTATTTTTGGTGTAAACAAGATATATTAACTAGGACAGAAGACATCTTTGAAGTGCTAGATTGCTTATAGGCAGCAGTTTAGATTAAGACTGTTTTACTCTGTAAGTTGTAATATTTTTGAAGGGGAACTGCACTTTTGTTATAGTATACCTATGGATGTATAGACTAAAGTTACCAGTTTCAAAAAAAAATTATAATATGCAGAAGGCCTCTTTATCATTGTAGTAGGATTTAGGAAAGATTTCAAAGTCCAGTCACAGCCATCAAAATGCTCCTAATTCATTAGTAAATCAGCCAGAATAGAAACTTTCATGCAAATTACTTCAAAATTTTGTGATGCCTAAAAAGGTAGCACTTGTTTGTTTCTGCACCTGCAAAATTTCAAGACATCCTATAACGGACAAGCAGCAATCCCCCCTAGTATAAACAATTAAATCACTAGAACTGGCAAGCATAACTTTTCAAAATATTATGGCGTTCATAAGGACCCAAGGATGTGGTTTACCTGTTGATCAAACTGAAATGATTTAAATCTCAGCTGAAGGAAAAAAAGCTATGTGATTTTCTTTTTTTGGTGAAGTAAATTGCATTAGAAAGGCATGCAAGATTACATAGAGAAAGAAACTAATAACCTCAGAACATTGCTACATGAAGCTATAGCAATAAGCAAAAACCTGTTGAAACAGTCAAAAGAATGCTACCTTGGAACTCTTCTAAGTAAGAGTCAAGAAGCTATGTGATTTCTTCCCATCTATCTAGTTTTTCGTGAGCGCAATTATCCAGTACTCATATATGTGCAATATCTGGTGGAGTTGAGATCCTTGCAAGATGGCCTAGCTACTATAATTGTTTCCCAAAAGAAGAAGAAAACGTTATGATGTTCATGCAACAAATATGTAGTTCCTCAACATTCTCAAACGCTGCTATGCTTAATTACCAAATATCTCACTGTGAACTAATGACAGTAACAGTTAACAGGTAACAGATGATACTGTCTGCAGAAATAGACAGCCTTTCTGAACAGGCCTAACCTAGAAGGTTTATAATTCAAGTTAAAATCATAACACCCACTGTTACTTAAATTGCATTAGGCAGTCAATGCCTCTCCTATGAGTTGGCAAATTAAATGAAAGAAAATATAGAGTTGATCAAACTTCTTGAACAATAAGAATTACCATTAAAAACAATGATAATGGTCAAATGACAATAATGTTAACAATATTTTTTTGGAAAAGTAAAGTATCAAGATATTTCAACCTATGCAAAAGAAATAAACCTCTGATAATAACTAAAATAGCACATGATTTCCCTTGATAAAGAACAGGAACCACCTTACCAGCTTTTAGGATGAGTTTTCCAGCCATGAGGAAGCAGCTTCATGTTTTTCCAGGATTTTGAGACTATCTTAGCTAGATTTCTACAGAGAAGATAATTACCCTTGATAAAGAACAGGAACCACCTTACCAGCTTTTAGAATGAGTTTTCCAGCCATGAGGAAGCAGCTTCATGTTGTTCCAGGAGTTTGAGACTATCTTAGCTAGATTTCTCTAGAGAAGATAATACTAGAGGAGAAGAAAAAATTAACCTGCTCCTCAGTAAAGAGCAACTTTATGTACAAGATAGTTAGAATATGTTACTCAAACCCTGGAATGGGCTTCAGCAGTGAATGATGTCAGGATATCACTTCAGGTCATTTCATTTGGTGTGTCAGAAAACAAAAGTACTGCAAAGTTATCCAAGGTACACCAAGCTGTAAAATTGTTTAAAATGATAGTAGTCCAACAGCAACTGTTGGTGCATTTCTACTACGTACTTCTGTGGATCATGTGTATATATATACTCATGATCCATGATCCGAGACTGAGAGTGTAAACCTCAGAAAGAAGTTACAAAAGGAAGAAGGTTGTGAAGGTTCGCACGATGGATGTTGTATGCAATGACATCCTTACTGAGAAGCTGGCAACTCTTTTTTTATACAAGTTACTGAAAAGCTAGTATTTTTTCTCCAATTTCAAAGTTATGGCTTCATAATTAATGTCGAAATGGAAAACCTAAGATCCAGAAGTTTTTCTATACCGGAAACAGAAAAGATTAGACAAGTTTGACACGCCATCCAATTAGCTATGGCAAAAACTGAAGGGACAAATTTCTCTTTGCTGGCAGGATTAATGCAATCAGAACCAGGTGTGGGATGTCTCCCATACAATTATGTCCTATTGTTTATGAATGCTTTTTCTATCAGAATTTAAGGGTTTTTTTTTGGTTTTAACAAATCCATTGGTCTTCAATCAATTGTTTTTTCCTCCGTTGTTGTTTCATCCTTCCACTTTGGTTCTTGTTTGAGTCCTCATTCAGCACCCTTCATAACTGAACAATGACAGCAGGGATCGGCTCAGTTCATAAAGTTCCCAACAAACTTATCACTATAGCCTCGTGCAACTATTTTTTATCCAAAGTACCCTTCAACAGAGGCCTCCCCTTAAAAAATTGGTCGTAATATTCAATAGAGATTTTAAAACCTTTTGATTGGATACAAAAGAATTACTTGGTAAAAAAGTATTCGACTTGATTAAGTATTAGCAAGAGATAGGCAGCAAATGGAATTTAGAACAAGAAAAAAGGAACCAACAAGTAACATCAACTAATGATGTCAAATTTCAGAACTCATATTAGATACAAGTTACTGCAATATAAAATGATACAGAAGTTGTTAAATTTGATCGTAAAGTAAAAGTTGTTAGGCTAGCTGTTAATAGAAATATGAAAAGACCATAATCAACATGTTGAAAAATCATCCAAACTCCAATCACATTTTATTGCAACTTCTTGCCATAACATGTGATACAGACAAAGCCCAGGTATCATAAATTGCACAACCTCTTTGCTAAAATCTATTTGAATGAAAAAGTTAGGGCTCAACTATTGACTCATGTACTTGAGAAAGGAACTGAACACTTTATGAGATATTTATCTTCTTAAATCTGTACACA